CAGTACCAGTCCTGTTTAGGAGAGGGTCAGGCTGGCACTCCAGCTAGCAGCAGACTTACCTCTTGCTCCACTTAGTAGTGCTGGTAATTTTACTTACACACTTCAGGTGTCAGGTACTAGTTGTAACTTAGTACTTTTACCATATGGAAACCGAAATTGTGAAATTCTGAGGTACCAATGGGTCAGGTACCTGTTCATCTGCTTTTGGAGGGGGTAGTCAGCAGTCCTGTTGATTCTGCAGGATACTTACTTGCATATTAGAAAATAAAGCTTAAGCCTTGCATTCAGGTACTTCCAGAGATGATAGCGCCTTGTCAGCTTGTTCAGAACACAGCGCAGCTGAAGATGACTGTGAAGGGCCGCAGGAGGCCCCTATACTGTTCCCCTTGAGCTGAGGATGGCAAGAGAAGAAATTGGTTTTGACTTCAGTCTTTAGCTGTATGTTGAACAAGGGCAGCTTGCCAGTGTTGGGGTTTGGGTTTGTTTGTTTGTTTTAACTTAAGCCTTGCTGTCCAAATGGCAAATTAGGTACTGTTCTGCCACCTCTTCGAGCTGCACCTTTTAAACCCAGGAGGGGGGAAGAGCCTCAGGGCAAGAGACCTGAGTAGTAAAGTAAAAAAGCATGCAAAGAATCAGAAGAGGCTTGAATTAAAAATGTCAAAATTCTGTTCTTCCACAGTGGAGTTCAGCGATAGAAAGCTTGACACTTCTTTACAATTTTTCACCTCTAGCCATGAGAGCCTTGCGAACAGCAGAGTGTTAACTGTTTATGAAACCCAATCCTGAACCTTGTTCTCTTAAGCTAGTGCATTCACTTACCTCAACTAAGACTTATGTGTCAAGTGAAATTTGAATTTTTTTTTTTAAATAAAGTTTTATCCCTCAACTGTGTACGGTCTAGTAAATGATTTATTGGGGCATAAAGCTGAGCATCACTGCATTCTTTTAACAAGAACATAAAAATGTGTTCTATTGCACTACAGCCAGCTTTAAGTGCTTCTCCCTTTTATTTTCATCTTCTGTCCCTCAGAAGTCCCAGGGTTTTTCTCCTGTTTTCTCACTTGTGCACTTACTTTCATTTCCAGCTGAAGTTCAGATCTTAACTGACATCTCTTGCAGAAATAATTTTCCTTCTTTTTAAGATATTGGTTACAGCATCTGTAAGCTACTTTCCTCAATGTTCCGTCACAGGTAATTTCTCTTTTACTGTTCCCATCTCCTTGCAGTTGCACTATATAGTGCAACTCTTACACAGAGTAGTTTTTGGGCACCATTACTGAGCAAGCAGCAGAGGTCTTTAATCCTCTTCAAATAAAGTCCATGTTGAACTAACACACAGCTTTACTTTATTCCCTTAGTTCTGCTTTACCTGCAGCCTGTTCTATTTCCTCGGTCTCTTTTAAAAGATAAAATTATAAAGGGAAAAAACCCTCTGTGAAACAAGTAAGGTTGCTGACAGGTTAGCACTCGTAGGAAGAACCTTCTTCATAGCAAGATGCTGAGTAGATCTCTTATGGAGCGCATCTTCAGTCTCAAATCGAGCAACGTAAGAGCAGATGACATGTCATGGAAGACAGACTTACCTCCTTCATTCAAAGCTTGTTTTCTCGGCTGTGAAACAATGCAGTATCAGATTTATAACCAGATCTGGTCCAACAGGAACACCTTCATGCAAGCACTGGGGGATGATGGCACCACACTGTTCTGTGAATTCAGAAATACTTGGAACAAGATTGTCAAAATTGCCCTCACAGAACAGCCCCTGCATTCTCAAAGGTAAAATCGAATTGCTGGTTTGGGAGTTTTGTTTGGGTCATTAGTGAAGCAATCCAAACAGGTAAAATTATTTGCAACTGCTTCATTCCAGGTGATGAATCTTCACCCCACCCCCAAAAAATTCAAGGACTACATTCAAGACACACTCAAAGCAGCAAACAATGTTAACAACTTCAATTCAAACAATGTCGAATATAGTATTTAATGCACTGAATTAAATATTCAAGTCATATGTTAGGTTCCAACTTGGGGTTCACAGACCTGTTAAGATGATCGCCAAATACAAAACATCACAAAAAAAATCTGCCATGAACACATGAAAGGCCAGGTTAGAACCTTGCCAGGTTTGGAGACAGAAGCATAGCAGACAACTGCAGCCTGAAGTCAGGTTTACAGAATCTAGCCGTCATATCCTGTATTTCAGTATCTGAATTATTTGTAACATGGAAAAAGGTTTTCTGTGCCTGCTATCCGCAGCCACTGTTCGGCCAAGCAGTGCAATCCCGTACTCGTCTTGTTCTGCGGTACCTGGGCTATCCATCCCCCACACTCCCAGAGCAGTGCTATTTTGAACTGATACCAATGTCAACTTTGCTCCAAATAAACCAGGTATCTTGTAAAATCTGTTTGAAACATTAACCACTTGCATGTAAAAAATGCACAAGTCTTATTTTTATAACTGACACATCACAAGTGATATGTTTCATTTTCAGTTAGAGAAATTACAGTTCTAACAGTAATATGCAGCTTACAGATATATCTCAAGTATTCAGTTCTACCCCCTAGGAAGGGGTAAAAATCTTATTATCTAGCTAAAAACCTGGTAGTTTATGGAGACACCTTAAATATAAGGAGAAGGCTGGACAGAAACTCGGCTGCTTTTGTAACAGCCCGGCAAAGGAAGAACACATTCAAATTCTACAGGACATGCAGAAGAGAAAGTTTATACAAGGTACCGCCTGCAGCCTTTCTGCATGCACACAAAATGACTGGACAAACCATCGTGGCAGATTTTGTATTACTGAACTTTATGTACAAAAGCCGATTTCAAATAAAACATTTTAATGTAAAAACAATGGTTCATTTTAAACAACTGAACTTATTTTGGGTTTGTGTTTGTTTTTTTTTTTTTGTTTGGGGTTCTGTTTTTACATCTACTGTACCATTCAAATTCTTTTTAACCAGCTTACATGATATCTTCAAAATCTATCAGAGGTACATATAGAAAAGGCATCTTTATAAATAGAAAACAAAGGGATTTTTTCAGCTTTTATTATAAATTGACATGACATACAAAGTTTACTGGACAGAAGTAATTTCATTACTATTTTTGGGGGGATCACCAACTTTTTGTGCAAACAATGCTAGCCTTC